TGCTCTCCATTCCCTAAGGTGTCTGATCTCCAGAAGTCTTTGTATTTGGTCATGTTTACTTTTAATAACTCAATTGACAAAGGACTATATTTCTCTGCCCACATTACTTCAAGTAGAGTATTCCTATGTTAGGGAACATTCAGTCATAGACACAGAGAAAACACACACACTCACACACACACAAAGACGATCAAATGCCAAAGTTGTAAGAGGGTCTATATTTGTAATTGAAGAGTCTTTTTCTCAACACTTACATCTGTTGAGATCCTGTGGAAGGGCCCTAAGTTTCTGCTAATTCCTTTCTTAGTACCTAAGTCACCAGTAAATGCACTGACTATATTAAAATCCCAAACCTGGCACTGTGTCCATCTGTTTCTACCTGTTTCGTTTGATGGATTATTCAGTGAAAAACTCGATGTTAGTTCCCACCAATTTTTGTTGTCCTTAGGGATCAAGCTTCTTTACAAGGTAGCGCAACTATTTCTTTTTTCTCCAGGCCTGTCGTGCACCATACACACCACTTCCTTGTGCATCGTGATAATCCTCAGGGAATTTGAACAAAGAAACATAAATCTGTTCTCTTTTTACCGAAGTATATCACTTTCTAGTGCACCGCTTCTGATTGAAATTTTAACTGATCCTGAAATTTGGCCTGTCTGGTAATTATAATCCTTAAGAATCTCTATGACTAGAAAATAGAAGACTCCAATATAGGGCAAAAAATGACCCCAACAAAGTACTTTACCGTTAGTCTGAATTCAAATACTATTTTTCACAGAGAAAGTAATTGTGTGGAAGAAGGCTTTGGGTGAGATTGAGCACCATGCGTATTTTTTCCTACGTTTGGAATCACAATAAAATGGAACATCAGAAGCCCACGACCTGACAGACCTACTTGCAGGCCAGCATTTCACAAATGAGAAAACCGAGGCAGCCAATAGTGAAACCACTCTTAGGGCCAAATTAGAAGAAGAAGCCAAGAATTCCTTCCCTTCCATCATGTTCTTTAGAGCAGTGGTTAATGCTTATAATGTTTAATGTCCTTCAGTATTCTAATAATTGCAATTATTTTCTCTGGCTTTAAATAATATTAAAATTAAATTTTGTCTTTGAAAATTATTTCCAACAATTGAACATCACTTTCATTGCAGTCTGCACCTCAAGCATCAGAAAATTCCATTATTGATAATAATTATAGGAATCATTGCCCTCATATCCTGTTTTGAAAGAAGATGATGATAAAATACTGCCGAGTTGGCTAATTGTAGACATGAAAAACCAGCATAACTTCATTAATGAAAAAGTGGCAAATGATTAAGTTAGTTAATGATATGCTTTCAGTTAGGGTTATCAACTCACTAGTATAAAGTCAAGTGATGAGTTGGTACTAGGGAAAGTAGGTCAATTAATATCCATCAATTCTAGCTTGACTTAAATAATTACATGGTAGTAATTTAGCTTTCATTAAGATGAGGGAAAGCCTTCCTTTTCTCTTTACAGCCTTGAGAATTACCAAGACCTAGCAACTTAAAAAGATACTCTTTATCGATCTGAATCTCCAAAACTACTGATTCACAGAGCTCCTGCTAATGGGAAAATACACAATACACATAGAATCACTGGTCTGATTGTCACTTACAGTTTCAGGCACCTACTATAATAGCCTACGCTCTGTTCCAAACTTCTGCACATACCAAACACACTGCCTCGTGTGTTATGAGATAGAGCTCTTCTCACTGAGAAGGTATTTTTTTTTTTAGATGCTACTCAAGGTCACAGAGCTAATGAATATATGAGAGTCAGGATTTGAGTCTTCTGAATAGCAAACTCAGTGTCCTTCCCTACAGAAAGAATGAAAAACACAGCAGATTTATTAAGACTCAAACCATTTGGGCCCTGCAAGAGATTGTGAGAGAAGTTTGTGTGGCTCTAACTGTAAAATGATAGTTATGGCCAAACCAGTTTCATCTCATTCTGAGATGAGATACTTTTTCAATGTTTTAGGGTTTTCCTCTGTATCACTGGACACGAAGGGGGCTTAGGGTGATGAGGGATGAGGATAGTGGGAGCTTTTTGACAACATAGACACAAACCCAGTTGAAGTGGTTAATATTCCACTACTGGGTTAAACACTATAAACTCTATCTCTGTGGCCCAGAGAGAAATGACATCAAATTCAGTAAACCACATTTCCATATTTTAGTAAAAAGAAATGAAAGACAAAAATGTAGACAACAGTATGAGAACACTACTTTGATGGATGATTCTTTTTTTTTTTTTACATAATGTCTCACTCTGTCTCCCTGGGTAGAGTGCCCTGGTATCATCATAGCTCACAGCAACCTCAAACTCTTGGGCTCAAGCAATCCTCTCATCTCAGTCTCCCAAGTAGCTGAGAATACAGGTGCCTGCCACAATGTCTGGCTAGTTTTTCTAGTTTTAGTAGAGACAAGCTTCTCACTTTTGCTCAGGCTGGTCTCAAACTCCTGAGCTCAGGCCATCCACCTGCCTCGGCCTGCCAGCATGCTAGGATTACAGGCATGAGCCACCGCATCTGGCCAACATTGATGAATGATTACTGTTCTTTCATAATATTTGGAGTCTGACTTTTTTTTAAAAAATTACATAAACTTAATCTCGTTAAGTTTATTTGTCAGGGTACTACCTCCTTTCAGTTTTTACAGATGACTATATTGTCATTTGGTGAATTCAGAAGCTAACACACCTTCCCTGGTCCAATGTTGACATGCTAGAACTGCAACAGGCTGAATATGTGGTGGGGGGAGGCCTTAATCTAGAACAGAGACTCCCACAGAAACACCACCGGGTGTGGAGGAGGCGTCAGGAAAACCTGAAACAGAGTCCATCGTGAGAACCAGGACTGTGTACACGAGGACCAATGCACAAGGAGGAGGGTAGAAATTGAGTTTGTAGAGCCAAGATTGTTTATGTCACTCAGAGATTAGGTTTGGAATGAAATTCCCAAGAATATTGTCTATTTAAATGATTCTGAAATCAAGGGAAATCGAAACTTTTTCCCTGTGATGCGACCAGCTTCTACTTGTCCTCTATCTTTGGTCCATTTGTTTTTGTGGAGTGGCAGTTTCTGAGTACACGTAGAAATAAGAGGGGTCCTGTTTCTATAGATGATGCCTGGGTAGTAACCGTCATGAACAGACTTGTCAGAAGAACAAAGAGCTTCCTTCAGGCTTGGGCTGTTCACTGACTTCTTAAATCTAGTGCCATCACCTTTCCAGCCAATGGGAATTTCTTCAACAATCTAGCCGGAGATTCACTATCAATTCTACTTTTCAACAGTGTAAATTTGATTTTTCTTTTTTGTCTTTATTGTATTTTTAAGTGAGAAATCAGGAGCAGCTGCATTGAATATAACTAGCTCGATGACATTTGAAATTAGACTTTGATTATTTGTCCTTTCATTATAGTAAACACGATTGTGCTAGTCTATTAGTTTTCATAAAATTAAATTGTAAATTTAAGATTACAAATTCATTCATTAGCTTCACAGAAAGTACCCCCAAGTTGTCAGAGCAGACCTAGAAACACAAAAAATCTTTGCCCTAATTTGAGGTAATAATCTGGACTTTTCAGTTTCTTGGAATCTTCCTCTATATTGGCAGAGAATTATACTGTTTTTATAATTTTACAGTGTATTTCACTGCAGGATGTAAGATTTTAAATTTAAAATACAAATTATGTGAGCTTAAAATTCACACCTTTGTTTTAGCTTCAATATATGGCTACCAAGAATCTAAGGCTTTATTCTGTATAATTTATTACTTTATCTATGATGATTGTATATTAAAAACAATGGTAAAATAAAACCAAACAAAAGTAATGAGCTGCGGTAAAATTTTCAGGAGTTCAATAGCATATTCTAATACATCTTAGTTTTTTTTGTTTTTTTTTTTGTTTTTTTTTTTTTGCAGTTTTTGGCCGGGGCTGGGTTTGAACCCACCACCTCCGGCATATGGGGCCAGCGCCCTACTCCTTTGAGCCACAGATGCCATCCTAGATTTTTAGGTTAACTTAAATGCAAAAGTGAAGCTTTGGAAAGAAAATGGGTTACTCTTTTATGCTCCAGATTACTATAAACTTTGAGTTATTACCTCAATTTAGTTTAATACCAAACAACACATGTTTAAATGTATTTTAAAAATTGTTTTTTTATTAAATCAAGACTACATGTCACATTGTCAATGATGGAAATTACTGTGATGACTTTATTGATTAATCAGGCTATTTGGAAAGCAATTTGGGATTTTGGCCCA